AGTTAGTTCATTGCATCTCAATTAATAAATATGCACACAGGAGTACATGAGATTCCTGATTCGAGCTTTGAAGAAGTCATTTTAAAGAGGAATTATGTAGTGGCATAGGTGAGAAAAGACAATACTTATTTATTTACAAATAATCAACTTAATATATTTATTTAATCTATTTGAATTACTTAACTAATTCTTATATTAATGACTGGAAATAATAGATATAATCTATTGGTAGATATATAAATTTTTGGTAGATTATGTCACAACTATTATAATTAACTAGATTTTTTGTTTTTTTAATTTCTCCAAATTAATTAAGCCACTTTTATATTAAGAATAAGAAGTACTATAATGATAAAGTGGAGCCCTACTACTATATGCATGTATAATTATTCAAACTGTGATGATGACAAGCACGCACATATATGCATGTATTTGTACTATTAAAAGTTAATGGATTCAGTAATTAGTAATTTTGCTAACAAACTTTCACCAAAACATGTTATCAGGTGAGCTTTGCATTTTGGGGATGGATGTAGTGACGTACCAAACAAATATTGATTTTAGACTTTAGAATTTATGGTTCATTATCCTGCTCATATATTAACAAACAAAAAGAGTAATGATATTTATACATAAGTGTCTAAAACTGATTAGCTTGCTGTTTTGGTGATAAAATATCATATGATTAGCAGTTTACCAAAATTTGAAGCTATAATGATGTTCCTCTAGCAAGTCTTTCATCAAATTAAAAATTACTGCATAAGATAAGCACACTATTTCACCTAACAAATTGTCACATTTTTCTCACCAGAAAAAAGTCACATTTTCATGATGATTTGAAATTGTCAAATTAAAATTTTTTATTTTCTTTTGCGAAACATTACAATTTTGCTGTATAAATTAAGTAAGGTGTTTTGTTTAAATTATATGGTTGAATTACGATGTGTTTAAGTATGAATTCTGTTTTATTTTAATTTAGAATATGAAGAAAGTAATGAAATTTAAAATGGAAGCAAAATTCTTCTTTTTCATAGCCCCTTTGTCATAGAAATTTAAAAGAAGACAAATGTACTGGAAAAGTAACGATGAAAAATTGAACAAAGGCAACCCAATTGCCAATGAAATAACATGAAATAAATATACTTCACTTCACTCAAAATAAAAGAAAGCTAAAAAAATTATACTACCTCCGATCTTAAATATAAGAATAAGTTGATTAATTTGAATAGATTAATAAAATAAGTTAAATTAGTTATTTTTAATAAATAAGTGTTATTTTTTCTAAAATATCCTTACTAATCAGGTTTATTGGCTAGAACTATCATTATTAGAAGACTAGTTTAGAAAAAATAGATAAATATGAGAGATAAAAGTAGATTGAGGTTTTATATTTAGGACCAAAATAAAAATCAAATGAGTTCTTATATTAAGAATTGGAGGTAATATATTTTCTTCAAACATAAAAATATTTTTTAATTTAAAAATAATATTCGTCATCAATTTTTTATTCATGTCTAACTAACTTGGCCTAAGTCTTTTTTTTTTCCAATTAAATTAGTTTTTAGGTTCATTTTTAGTTTTGATGTCCGAATACTTTAAGTCAATATACTTCAGGAAAGAAACCATAAAAAGGAAAAACACATATGCATGTAATTTTGAATGCAGAACTACTAATCATTTTATCTAATGATTTTATATCTGAAGTCCTTGCAGATATTACATATTTTGTAGAAATTTCCAGTGTCAATCTATTAGAAGGCCAAAATGCTAATCACAAAAATTAAAACAAATGCAGAGAGAAGGACAAATAAAGAGAGCAGAAATTACAAAATTTCACATCAGCATTTGTTACAATATTTTTACAGGTTTTTGACAACAATTGACTTACAAATAATAATGTGAAAATACCTGATTTGAGATTTTGTGATTTTTACGGTCTATTTTGTCATTTTACCACAAATATATTATGAATCAATAAAATAAAAGTTTGAAAAGGCAATGAGGTAGACAAAAGAAATGGAAAATGATAAATAGTGACCATGTCAGGCTCACAATGACGATTTTGGCCTTCAAATAGGAAAATTCAATTTAATGATCAGGATCTTTAATTGTAATTTGAAAATGTTCCCGCTATCAATAATATATTAATGTGATCGACGGAGACTTCCCAGCGATGATCGAATCGTCACCGGAGACTTAGCCCACCATCGCCGGCCGAATTTTAGTAGCTGGCTGCTGAAAACCTATTGACAACAAACTACTTCTTTTAGATAAAAAATACTTTTTGTTTTTATGTTTTTTAAATAATTTAGTTATGAATGCTAAAAAAGTCTAATATACGGGTGAAATTCTTTAGCTTCACTTGGAAATTGAATTACTTCAGATTTAGACTAAATTGTTGGTAAATAAAAATAGGACTACTGAAAAAACTTAAGATGAGTTCAAAATTTTCTTCACCGTTGAAAAGTTTTAACCTCAATGAAAAATTGATTGATTCTGAAGAGGGACTAGATTGTTGCGAACTGAAAGTACACCTACTGAAAATGTTTAAGATGAATATGAATTTTTCGATCAACCAAAAAAAAAAAAAGATTATGTATTTTTCTTAACTTCGCTATTGAAAATCTGTAACATTACTTGGAAATTGACTTGTTTGAAAATGTGAAAAAAATTTTACAAACTAAAAAGTTAAGACTATTAATCTATTTCTAAGTGAGGTTAGAACTTTTCACCAGCGTGGTTAACCAAATTTTATTCTTATCCTAGACATTTTCAGTAGTCATAATTTTAGGTACCAACATCTTGCCAAAATCTAAGGTAGGTTAATTGTCACAGGATGTGAAAGCTTTAAACTAGTTAATTTAAGAAAATTTCATACCTATTTTAAACATTTTTAATAGTCGTTTTTTCTCAATTATCAACCATCTAGTTTAGGTCTAAAATAGATCAATTTTAAAAGTTAAGCTTTTTATTAGTGAAGCTGTGGAGTTTCTTTTAGATTTTCTTTTCATAAAACATGGCTTGTCCCTAGCCGGTTTTTTTGACAACCGACCATTAAATTTTAGTAGTTAGATAGCCGTCAAACATACTCATCTGGTCCTATTTATAAAATAGAAAGACAAAATATTTTTTGGTTCTATTTATAGGACATTGAGAGAAATTTTTTGTGTGAATATACAATTTTACCCCTTATTTATTATTATGTTAACTTTGTTTATATGAGATATAATGTATATTAAATAGGGATAAAGTCAGAAAGTTATTAAAATTTAAATGAGAATTAATAAAATTTAAAATTTTTTTGGTATTTGTGAAACATATTGAAAGTGTCTTATAAATAGAATTATAGGAATAGTGACTATCGATTGATCCGTGGGTATGTGGTGAGGGTATTTTTGACCAATAAAAAATTTTAAATTACAATAAAATACCTTATTTTTAAAATTGAATTTAACTATTTTGAGAGTTTAAATTGTAATTTTCAGCCTTCCATGGTCTTGCTTATCATTTTCTCCAAAAGAAAGCCTTTACCCACGCAAGTGTGAAGATGTAAGACCATGGACGAGATCCCAAAAGAAAATAGAGAGAAACTTCAATGATAAAAGGTAAAATTTTTAATATAATTTTAGAATAAAAAGTTGAAGATAAAATGTTATTTTGTGCAATTTAAAAGTTTTAATATAATGATTTAAAAAATTTATTAGAAATATTATAAATTTAAAATTTATATTATACTACCTCCGGTTCTTAATATAAGACTTTATTTATTTTTATTTTGGTTCTAAATATAAGATTTCAATCTACTTTATCTATCATATTTATGCATTTTTTTTCAAGATAACCCTTTTAATAATAATAGTTCTAATCAATATACTTGATTAGTAAGGATATTTTAGAAAAGACAACGCCTATTTATTATAAATAACTTACTTAACTTATTTTCTTAATCTCTTTAAATTAGTTAACTAACTCTTACAATTAGGACGGGGGTAGTATATTTTTAAAATAGGCATATTATACATGATTCACAAAAGCGGGATTTATTAAAATTTTTTTATGTTGCTACATGTCTAGATTATACTTTTTTTTTTTGGCCAAAAATGTCTAGATTATACTTAACAAACAGTGTTTCTATCATAATTTTATATTAAGAAAAATTGCTGAAAAGATTTTCTCATTGTAAAATTTATTACTCAAAGCATCTAAAATTTGTTTAAGAATTGCGGTGCAACTCATTTATGTATAATTTATTTTCAGCTGTGTACCAAACCGAAAATATTTTGCCTATAGCTGAAAAAAATATTGCATAGAAATAAAAAAGATTTGCATTCAATCAAAATAACTAAGCTACACCAATTTAAGGACTTAAGTCGTTGCATGTATTTGAGCAATAAATTTTATAATAGGAGATTTTTCTCCTTATATTATTATATATTTTTTAAAACATAAATAAACAATAAAATACAAAAATAGTGCAAAAATCACGAAACTTGATCTGCGTATGCCAAAACGAATGCCCATGGGCGTGCGTGCAAACCACTTTCCAATCAACAGGAGGTGACGACCATCCTCGTCTTCTGCGTTCTTACGTGGGACTGACTTCCCGTGTTACCTCGTTGTACCTCTTCACTTCTACATCCCTGACAAATGTCCCCCACGCGCAGATCTCCATCCCGTAAAAGCGCGTCAACTTTCTCAGCCTAGTGCACCTTCCTGGCTCTCAAAGTCACTCTCTCATGGAGTCATAGTCATAGACTCATACTTTCCTCGGTTCATGTTCATACTACAATCACACCGCACTACTCCCATTCTTCTTTCTCCTCCACATTCCCAAAATCTGTTTCAAATTTGCGGAGAATCCTTATCAGATCAACCATCTCCGCCATGGAAACCCACCGGAAATTCAAATTCCGGCCGTCGCCACCTGTGTTTCCCGGTTAATGCACCATGTTCGTCCCCGTTTCGATATAAGCATTGAATCCTGGAGGGACCATGACGATGGCGAATATGTTATCAAATCGTTCCTAAACTTAAAAAAGAAAAAAAGAAAATCAGAAGTTTCCATTTGGGTATTTAGCAAATATAAATAGCAATGGCTGCCACCACAAACACGACGACTACTACTCCGGCCATGGACTCCCCCTCGGCCGACGAGCTTGCCGCAAAAGCAGCAAACAAGCGTTATGAAGGTCTGGTCATGGTTCGAGCCAAAGCAATGAAAGGTAAAGGGGCTTGGTATTGGACGCACCTTGAACCCATGCTGGTTCACAACACTGAAACTGGGCTTCCCAAGGCGGTCAAGCTGAGATGTGCTCTCTGCGACGCCGTTTTCTCAGCCTCCAATCCTTCTCGGACTGCTTCAGAGCATCTCAAGCGTGGAACTTGCCCCAATTTCAATTCTGTAGCAAAACCCATCTCCTCCATTTCACCCACGTCTCCCGTTTTGTCTTCTTCGCCTTCTTCTTCCGTTCATCACCACAACCACCGTAAGAGAACTTCCGCTTCTTCTGCTGCGACGTCGTATCAAGTTCAGCCGCTCGCCATCGTGAATCCGCCGAGGTTCCTCGGTGGTGACCTCCCGACGACGTACCCGTCAGCAACACCGTCTGCTGCCACGCCAACATCGTTGGTCACGGCTAGACAGCAGCAACAGCATTTGATGTTGTCGGGTGGGAAGGATGATTTGGGAGCTTTGGCCATGTTGGAAGATAGTGTTAAGAAGCTGAAAAGTCCTAAAACTTCTCAAGCACCATCTCTTTCCAGAACCCAAATCGACAGTGCGATTGATTATCTCGCTGATTGGGTTTACGAGTCTTGCGGGTCGGTGTCGTTGTCCAGTTTGGAGCATCCAAAGTTTAAAGCTTTCCTTAACCAGGTGGGGTTGCCTGCGATTTCTCGCAGAGAATTCACTGGTTCTAGATTGGAAGCGAAATATAGAGAACTAAAGGCAGAGTCTGAAGCAAGAATCAGAGATGCTATGTTCTTTCAAATAGCGTCTGATGGATGGAAAGGTAATCCCAAGAACTATTCTGAAGAAAATGTGGTGAATTTGAGCGTGAATCTCCCCAATGGGGCAAGTTTGTACAGAAAGGCTGTGTTCTTCACTGGTTCTTCTGCTCCTTCTAAGTATGCAGAGGAAGTTTTGTGGGAGACAATCACTGGTATTTGTGGCAGCGCCCCACAGCAGTGTGTAGGGATAGTTGCAGACAAGTTCAAGTCCAAGGCTTTGAAGAATTTAGAGGATCAGAATCATTGGATGGTTAATCTTCCTTGTCAGTACCAAGGTTTCAATTCTTTGATTAAGGATTTCAACAGGGAGCTTCACTTGTCTAGGACTGTCACAGGGAATTGCGTAAAGCTCGCGAGTTTTGTTAATCACAAGTCTCAGATTCGGAATAGTTTTCAGAAGTATCAAATGCAAGAGTACGGCCACGCCTGGTTGCTACGAGCACCATCAAGAGAGTTCGAAGATTTCAACTTCAGGCATGTATATACAATGATGGAGGATATATTGAGTTCCAACCGTGCGTTACAGTTAATTCTGTTAGATGAATCGTTCAAGTTGTTATCCATTGAAGACCCCACTGTGAGAGAGATTGGAAATATGATTCGTGATGTGAATTTCTGGAATGAATTGGAGGCAATGCACGCGTTGGCGAAGTTGGTGAAGGACATGGCTCATGAGATTGAAACAGAAAGGCCACTGGTTGGGCAATGCCTTCCACTTTGGGACGAACTAAGAGCCAAAGTTAAAACCTGGTCCTCCAAATTCCATATTGCAGAAGAAGAATCAGTGAACAACGTGATTGAGAAACGTTTCAACAAGAACTATCACCCTGCTTGGGCTGCGGCCTATATTCTGGACCCTCTTTATCTGGTAAGAGACACAAGTGGAAAGTACCTTCCACCGTTCAAATGCTTGACGCCAGAGCAAGAGAAAGATGTGGACAAGCTCATAACCAGACTTGTTTCTGGGGATGAAGCTCACATTGCATTAATGGAGCTCATGAAATGGAGAACGGAAGGGCTCGATCCGGTTTATGCCCGAGCTGTACAGATGAAGGAGAGGGATCCTATCACTGGGAAGATGAGGATTGCCAATCCACAAAGCAGTAGGCTTGTGTGGGAGACTTATCTGACAGAGTTTAAGTCTCTGGGGAAAATTGCAGTGAGGTTAATATTCCTTCATGCAACTTCATGTGGGATCAAATGCAATAATGTTTCTTTGTTGAGATGGGTTTGTGGTGGCCATGGACGTTCTCGGATTGGATTGGACAGAGCACAGAAGATTATATTCATTGCTGCTCATTCCAAACTAGAAAGGAGGGATTTTTCCAGTGACGAAGACAAAGAGGCTGAGGTATTCAGTTCGCAAAATGGTGAGGATGATGTGTTGAACGAGGTTCTTGTAGATACATCCTCAGCGTAACATCTTTTGTCTCTTTTTTCTTCTTTCCTTCCTTTCTTTTTCTGGTTCAATCAGTTAGGGATTTTAATCTTAGGATTGATCGAATTCTTTCCACTACCCCTTTCCCCTCTTCTTCTTCTTGGCTTTGGTCCTAATATTTTCTTCTTTTTTTGTGTTTGTCCTCCTTCTGTATTTGTTCACTGGGAGGATTTTGGGACACTGGTGGAGATAGAATTCCTCAGCCTCATGATTTGACCATGGAATGGTTTTAAGGTTTTTAAAGGGCATATCTATATCCATATATATTATATACATATATACATACATATATATATATATATATATCTCTGTGTCTCTGTAAAGTTAGAACAGAGAGATTGTGGGAAAAAGAAAGGTACTTGTGAATTGACTTGTTGAATGGCTAAAGCTGCATCAGTTAATCTTTTATGCAAGAAAACCTCAGATAGGGGAAAGCTTTGCTTTGGCTTATGAGAAATTTAAAATCTTGGTCCATTTTGTGATGCAGATACCTACCTACCTTGTTTTAGAATGTTTGAAACACACACACACACACACACACATCTGTGTCTGTGTGTGTCTCCGTGAAACTGTCCTCACATGATTCTACTCCGTTAAGGTTGACCAAGTCTTCTCTCTCTCTCTCTCTCTCTTTCCTTCTCCAAAGGCAATCAGCTTTCTGTTTCATGTCAATGTCGTCTTCTTCTTCTTCTTCAGTTTCCTTCTCAACTCACAGATTAATGCATAACATATATATTTCAGTTTATTAGTCATGTTAATTAGTGACTTTAACTTGAACCCCACCACGAAACCAAGTGAAAATGATGCGGATAAAGATGAAAGAGTTTTGTTCAATCAAATCAGCTTTTTAGGCAGAGAGCTTTCCTTGTCTCTGGAAAAAAAAAAAAGGAAAAAAAAGGGAGAAAAAAGAAAAAAGTCCTGGAGCTGGTCTACGTTATTCTTCATGCAGACTCATTTAAAATTGCTGGTAATGAAATTGTAAGAAGAACTTAAAATTGCTTCATGTGAGTTCAGAAAAAGAATATGTAAAACAAAATATATACACTTCTTGTGATTCTTTAATTATGACCAGATTTTAAATTCAAATGGTTTTTATTTTTTGAATGATAGTAGCAAATATAGGGGAATTGATAGGGCACTTATGATCCTCATGAGGTAATTATATTTAGGTATTGAGATGGACCCTCCTCTTCTTTTTCTTTTCTTTTTTTTTTTTCCTTTTTTTTTCGCTCTTTAATTTAATTGGAAGATGCTTCAGCCCTCAGCCTCCAAGTCAGTCAGTCACCCGCCATTTTCTTCTCCAGAGCAAAACAGAGCTTGCCAATTATGGAAACCATGTCTCTCTTTTATTTCCCTCATATATGTCCTTAATAATAATTTCCTTGACATCCCAACATTTTCTACTTATTTTTAAACTACATAAAGTATCCTTCCAGTCTTTTTCATAAAGCTTGAATTAATTATTTTATATAAATTAAGAAAATTAGTTATTTCATGTAAAATATCAAAATTATCTTCAATGTAAGTCATTAATTAGAGTAGTTAGGTTGATTAGTTAGAAAGTTCTAGAGTTGGTTAAGATTACCAGATAAAAAAATTAATATTTTAAACAAAACATGATATGTTATGAAACATGCAAGAGACTTTTATAATATTACCTCCATTTCTGAATATAAGGGCTAATTTCTAGTGCAATAACTTTTATATTTAGGGCACCGGATAAAGTACATATAAAAATAAATAGAAGCAAAAAAAAAAATGTAACCCTAAATCGAAGGATACATATCGAGGAAGGTGAGGGAAAGAAGAATATATGCTGCTTGTGATGAACATGGGTTTCAGATTGAGAGAGACCCACCAAAATGCATTTTGTAAACAGTGAAAAGGTTAAAGATTAAATTAAGTGGAGGGTGTTTGGCTTTTTGGGTAGAAAAGTAGAGAGAGAAAGAGAGAGAGAGTATTATTATTTATTATTATTATTAAGATGAACAGACTGGTAATTTATAATAATAGTATTAAGAGACAGAGAAATCATTGTCGGTGAGGGCTCAACAAAGCTGACTGCTCACCAACTGGGGACCCCATCATCATCTTCTTCTTCTCTCTCTCTCTCACACTAGCTTTCTCTGTATATTTCTTTCTGTTTGTCTCTCTCTCTCTCTCTCTCTCTCTACAGGTTAATGTTAATAAGCTCTTTCTTTTTCACCAGTATGGTATGGAGTCCACCTCTACACCTTGATAGGGTTAAAGGCAAAAAAAGGGAAAGGCAATTATAATGATTAGTATAGGACGACACTTTCTTCTTTATACAACCAGAACAAGAATCTTCACCTCTTCCTATGCTCTCTCTGTTTCAAAATTCTTCTTCTTCTTCTTCTCTACTCTAACAAACTTTCCTACCTCCTGTTTCAACTTCAAAATCTTCTGGCTCCTCTCTCTCTCTCTCTCTAAACACACACACACACACGCTTATTTGATTATTCATTCATGTTGTTTTTTCTTTAATTTTCCGTACACTCAAAAAGATTAGAAATCATTTAAATATTAAGTTTGGAATAAGCATTGAACTATAGGAAGGCTAAATTTCATAGAATTCTTTTCTAAACTTAGATCATGCACAGATAATCTCCTTAAACTTTAAAATTTTTAATAATAAAAAACCCCATTAACTTTTAAGTCTATGCAGCTAACTTCCTACCAATCAATTTTATACCCTCTAAACTTTATTTTTGTGTGCATATAGCCCCTTCAGATTTTGAGGTACTTGCAGATAAACTCTATAAATTTCACGTCATTTACATTAATAATTTATTTATTATTATAAATGTAAAACTTCATAGAGATTTATTGTAAGTTTTAAATATTAGAGAAATTGTTTAGATACGATATAGAGTTCGAGGAGTTTTGTATAAATTAATCATGGTAGAAAGATAAGAATATTTACTCTTATCATGAACTAGGAACTTAGTTTTGGTGTATGCATCACAATAATGACTATCATGATGCTTATAAGTACAGTAAAATCTACACTATTAAGATACAATTTTAATAGCCTAAATTTAAAACTTTTAATTACTAATTTTTAAATATATTTTTAAAAATTACCATTAAGAAGTTACATTTAGTTTAGATTATGTACCTATTTAAGAAAAATATTAAAAATATAAAAATATAAAAAATTAAAGCTCAGTTGTCTATGTTAAATCATGATACTTATCACTGTGATAAGCATTGAAGTTGATTTCTCATGAATTATGGGCGAATTTACTACAAAAAGACATTTTTTTTATTGATTTGAATGGATTTAAGGTGCAAGTTTGTCGCGGAAGTTTTCACTCATAAGCACCGGATATCTAAAAGTTTTCTGAGTTCAGTATTGCCCCAAAAGTTTTAAATTGTGGTAATTTTGCCTCTACTAGTAAAAATATTAATGGTCAATGTCGATATTTTAACGATTATATTAGCTTTTTGATTTTAGGAAGAAAAATTACTATGATTTTAAACTTTTGGGGTAATATTGAATCCCAAAAGATTTTCAAGGTGCCCGGTATAATACTTATAAGTGAAAACTTTTAGAACAAATTTTTATAATAACCCATTTGAATTTGAATTTGAATGTCGTTTTCTGTAAGCAGGAGCTAGCAGGCTAGCACATTGAGTCATTGATGCTTCACAAAAACAAGAATAATGGCTTGTTTCAACCTAAGTAATGTTAGTAGTACGTAATGATTCACTCATTCCATGTCATGTTCTGTTATTTTCACAAAATTTAATGATATTCTCTCAATCCTCAGACTGTGTCTCTGCCTCCTCCTTTTGCCCTTTTCTCCTCTTTTCAAAATTATGTCTTCTCTGTTCATTTGCTGATTTCAAGCTTTGGAATGTTGCCCTTATCAAGCAACCACCATGTGCCTTTCCTTAATTTAACTGTTAACATTAATCAAATCCATTAATATAAGGACTTTCCATTACTTTATATATGTGTGTGTGTGTTCATTAATCATTAATTAAATCCTCAACAACTTAGTATTTTAATGACTATTGTTGACTATTTATTTCTTACCCTAGAAATTGAAGTGTGTTTCAAGTTTTTTACTACTACTTTTTTTTTACTATTACGGAAATAGTGATTTACTATGTAATGATGATGAAGTACATGAAAGTTGTTGATTGGGAGCAAGTAGGACAGGAACTTATGAAAGTTTAATTTCTTCACAATTTACCCAAAATTTTGAATTTTGAAAACATCATACACTTCAAAGATCAAAATATGATATCTTTAGTGTTCATGTGAGATTATATTTAGACGGTATTAATCGTATTTATATTAATTAATTTCATTTGTTTTCTTTTCTAGAGCACATAATATAGAATTAAAATAATTTTCTAACCGTCAATTAGTCAACTATTTGCATAAATAATGATGAACATAATTGTTGGCTACTATTTAAATATTGAAGAGACCACTGCATGTCAGAGATCAATGATCTCAGCTACCTAAACCAAAATAGTTTAGAAGTTTGTGAGAATTTGAGTTTCATTGCCACCATCCCTCCTTAAATGTTAACCAGAATGAAAACGATACAACAATATATATATTGAATGGGAATTCTTCCCCCCCTAATTTTAGAGAGGCAGATACTAACTATCTGATGTTAGAAGCAAGGTCAATCCTGTGATTACCTTTCACTTATGTGGGAGCTTTTACGCCATTAGGATGGTTATTGGCATTCAGTTCAAACCTGTTGAACTAAACTAGATATGACCTAAAGCCAAATATGACCTAAAGCCGGATATGACCTAAAGCTTGTGAATGCCGGTGAACTAAACTAGATATGACCTAAAGATAAATATAAAAATATGACGATTTAGAAAGATTCTACTTCTGATGATAACTTTGGGATGTTGAGTTATGCAAGATTGATTGTGTAATTAGGTACAGTACATTTGTCATGAGATTGACTTGTTGATTGGTTTGTGTCTACTCTTAAGCTAATTGGAATTTTTTTTTGGGGGAATTTCACTGTAGGACCGCAGAAGACAATTAATATCAAAGAGCCCCAAAACTTTCTAAACCTCACTGCAGGATCAAGGGACCAATCTGATATTAATTTTTAGAGTGAGATTACAATAATACCCCTCCCTTTTTATTTTATTAAAAAATAAATATTTACCGGAGCTACTGTTCCGGCCACCGGCGCTCAGGTGGCCGCCGTCGGGGTCCGGTCACCGGTGGCCGGAAC